AAAATGTGTAAATATACAATGAGAAACAAAATATGAAAAATGTATAGAAAGATAACTTCTTTGACCCAAGGGCACTCTACAAATTGGTATCTTTTAGTTTTTTCTCTACAATGTATTTAGCATAGAAATTTTTGCAAAATGTTTCATAGAAAACTGCATGACTTGATAGCAATGTGCCTGACTCATATTTGTGAGATCATTGGTTTGTATCTCAATGAGTGAACTTTTTTAAATAAATAAGTAATTACCTAAAACCAGCAATAATTCTCTTCAAAACAATGTTTTCTTCCAGTTATAACAGTTATCATCAGGTTTCCATGCATTGGAATGCTTTCTTTTTAAATTCTTGTGTTTTTACATAGACTAATTGTAAATCATATGAGTTTATATATACTTTTTGTTTATTTTCTATTTAAAATTGTGAATTTTCTTTTTTCGAATTGCTCTGTTAAAAATAAAATTGTTTTGTTTCTAAACTTGAATAATTATTTAATAAAAATATTAAAATTAGAAATTATATTCTTCTTGTTGCATTAAGTATATTTATTTCTTTTCATAACTAATGATATAAATATTAAGAAACCAGAGAAGTTACATTGACTTGTTACATGTGACAGTAAACAATGTGATATTGGGAATAGTTATAACTAATAATGTTTTTAATTTATTAATTGCTTAACAAGTCAAATAATTCATAATATTCTAACATTTCCAAATGTAAAAAACTGTAATTAAATTTATTTCTAACAGACTGCTATTTCAAAATGAATTTTTAAGGAAAAAAAATGAATAGTTTTAATATAAAATAGATAAAATGCATAAATGTTTGTGATTTACAATAATTCTTGTAAAAATTGTATTAATTTTAAAAATTCAATCATTGTGATGCAAACCAATGATATCCCATTAATCTGCCACTGAGCTGTATAGTCATTGCCTTATGAGTAAGCTTTGCAAGATATTTCACCAATTAGAATTTTTTAACTTTGATTTTCTTGAAGTATGCTTTCTGCATTTGGTTCATAATGAGCCTTGTTCATACAAATGGGAATTGAAATCCCAAGGACCACATCATAACCTCCTCTTGTTAGATGCATAAAAATTTAAGGATTATTTTATCAAATAAAGTTAATCAGAAGTTTTCATTTTCTATTATTAGATTATTAAATTGACATGTGATCATCTTTTTACTTTTATCAATTTGTATTTTTATAATACATATTAAATGAATTGCCTATTTTTGTTTAATAAATTTTATATGGTAAAAAAATTATATATTATATCCAGTTCTTAGAATAGTTAAATTGTTTTATTTAATTTATGTATTGTTAAAAAATTATCTTGAAATTTACACTTGTAAAATTTGAGATAAAATGTTTTTCATTATTTGTGGTGTTTTAAATTGATTTTATTAGATGGAATTGCTCAATACATATTGTTTATTTTTTGATTCTCACAAGTGTCTTTTTACTTACCAAACATACACAAACAATTTAAGCTAATGATCTGTAAATTAGTTGTGTATTTAAGACTTTAAATAAACATTGATGTTTTTATAATCGCTATTTGTGTCAGATCGGTTAGTGCCAAACAAAACATACCTATAAACATCTGATTCATCAAGGATAAGATCTTAATTCTTTTCTTATGCATTTTCTATTTAAATATATACCCGAAAAGTTGCTTTTAATTCATTTCATATGCATAAAATAAAGATCTTAAAAGGTGTATTACTGTAAAATCATACCTAATTGTTGATAAATATTAATATATGAAATATAAATATAACATTATTTTGAAAAATTTCTTTAAATTTTGTGATAAATTCTACATTTGAGTGAAAGTTTTCACAATCATAACACAGAACATAGAGATGTAAGAAGCTATTGTTTGACTTAAAAAATGTTTATAGTTTTTTTCTTTGTTGAATTGGTATTGTATATTATTTTCGTTAGATGAAATAAATTTCACGAATTTGTATGAGCTAAAATTTTTAATATGATATTTACATTTTTATATGTATAAATTTATACATTATACAATTTATACATATTTATACACTTAATAATTTACTTTGAGAAGAAAATTTAAAGATTTAATTTAATTCAGTTGCTTACTAAATATATTAGATTACATTTTAGCATTAATGCTATGTTGGATTTTAAAAATTATTTTACTTACATTTTCTTTCATAAAAATTGTCTGAAAAATTATTTAATATATACAATGTCTGTTCAAAAAGTATCGGACCTTTGGTCGGCAAAAATAAATTTATTGACTTTGAGGTACAAAACCCTAATCCCCTTCAAAGTAGTCTCCTTGGTAATGTATACACTTCTCCCAGCGTTCCTGCCATTGCTGGAAACACTGCTGGAACGCATCTTTTGGAATGGTTATCAGCCGGTCCGTCGCATTTCGCATGATGTCTTCTCTCGACTAAATTTGGGTTCCTTTTAGCGGCATTTTCAGCTTGAGAAATAGCCAAAGGTCACACGGAGCCATGTGGAGAGAGTACGGAGCGTGACGAACCACAGGAGTATTGTGTTTGGCGACGAAAGCCCGAATCAGATGCGCAGAATGGGCGGATGCGTTATCACGATGGAGCTGCCAAGTTTTGATCGACCACAGATCCGGTCGTTTGCGTCGCACTGTATCGGAAAGACGACGAAGGACCTCCTGGTAGTACTCCTTTGCGATGGTTTGGCCTTGTGGTGCGTACTCACGACACACCACCCCACGAGAGTCGAAAAAACTGTCAACATGACCTTTGATATTGCTGCGGACCTGCCGCGCTTTTTTTGGCCTCGAGGATCGTCCCCGAAAGCCTGCTGAATCTTGCGAATGGTTTACACTCGGGTATCGCCAAGGTTTTTGGCAAAATTTGATGTAATATCGCTGCTCAAGTTGTTCAGGCATTTTCCAGCTTAGTGAAATCCGACGAGAGCGCACTACATGACCTCACTCATACGCCGATTGCCAACGACTGACGCTTCCTGCAGGCGGGAAAAAATTCAGGGCTGTGCATGACTGTCCCCTCCACAACTCCACCGAAGGAGGTCTCTCACGCATCATTGGTTTACGCGGGAAAAAAAAAAGGTCCAATACTTTTTGAACAGACCTTGTATGTATACACTTGAGTATATACTCAAGATTTATATAATTTTAAGCAAATGAAATATTTGGAAGACATTACTTGCCATTTAAGATTGTAGATTTAGAATATGATAAGAAATACAGGTTAAGTATAATTAGCGGGATGTTACAAATTTTCACTTTTAAATTTGTCTAATCAATATGATCAAAATTATAATGAATAGAAATTTTAGTATACTTTCTTTACATTGCCTATATTTTCTGTATTTGTACAAGTTGATAAAATTTCATACTCATAAAATATTTATCAACAATTAAGAATGCAATTACATCCTAAGTTTGCTAGTACATAAATGATTAAATGACAAATAAAAAAATATTGTTTCTTGGCAGAGAACTCAATTCATAATCTACAGATTCGTGCCAAATGTATTAATCAATTAACTTACCAGGACATCCAGAATAAGCATGTCCTAGAATTTTAACTTTGTTTTGTACAGTTAATGATAATGTTATAAATATTATAAATATATATATAAATTAATTGAATTTCTGATGTATGTTAATTGATTTATTTATATAAATTATGTTTAAACTTTCTAAATATATCTTGAAAAGTATTATAAGATTAATTATAGTTCCAGAAAAAAAAAAGAAGCTTAATTTTTCTCTCACTTTTTTTTAGCTAAATTTTTTCATTTGAATTTGAAAAGTAATTACTATTTACTGTTGGGGATAAATATTAAATAGCTGAATTTGTTGAAATCTGTAGAGATAATTTCAGAATGTTTATTCTACTTAAATATGTAGCATTTGTTAAGAGTGATTAGTAATAGCTCAGAATAAAAAAAAAAATGTGACATTAAAACTATCCACTGGGATTAATACAGTATAGTATTTTTTCAATTGAAAAAAAATATTTTGTCAAAAGTTAGGATGTAATTATAAATCAAGTAAATTAGTTTCATTCACTAAATTGGCAATTTAAATGATTTGTTTGATAAAATTGATTCCAGGATTCATTGAAGAGCCATTGGATTCTTTCTTTCTAGCTACTGGAATTTATTTTTTGGGTAATTTTAATTGTCAATATTTATATTTTTTAATCTATTACATTTAATTCCTGTATAAATAAAATGCAGCCAAATATTTAACTAATAAATTTTTCATAATCAATTAAAACAGAATCCAAAACTTTACAGTTTTACTCAAATATATTTAATTTTTAGTTAAAAGCATATTTTTTTGGAATTAATTACAGTATTTCTTATCAGATTATCTCCATCTAAAATTGAGTTATTCTAACATAAAATAGATGTGCTTAATTTGAATAAGGTTATTAGAAAGTTTTGACTTTTACTGTAAAAGAAGCACTTTACCTTTCTTTTTATGAAGCAGTCAAATGATACCTTTTTCACTATTGTAAAGTAAAAATTAATGTGTTTCATCTAACATCGGATGCAGAAAACATAATAAAAGTTTTTAGCATACATCAGAATCTGGAATTAAATTGAAAAATTCATATCAAAGTTCATTTTATTATGTTTCAGGTCTATTAAATAAATCTGTGGTGAATCTTTACTATATCATATTTTGAAAATTAAATTTTCATAAATAATGATAAATTTTTAATTGAGATAGTCAAATAGCAATTCATATCAATCGAAACTCTAATTTCTAATGATAATGAATATAATTTTTGTTTTAGTTTCATCCTATTTTTATGTAATATTCTGAGCTATGAGAAAGCGGAATATTTTTTATGATTCAGAATGTTATTCTACATAAACTTTGAATATTCAATTGAATATTTATAAAATTTTTTGATAATTTTTAAAAACTGATAGAAAATACATACAAATTTTAATTAGTGAAAAATTAACTTTTTTACCAATACAGTTATTTAGTTTCAGAATGAAGGACAATGGAATCTTGTACATTCAGAGCAAGTAAATGCTTCAAGGACTGTGCAACAATTAAAGTCTGATATTTATGAATTAGAAACTGTTCGACAACAAGTGAAACCAGAAGAATTAGCAGAATTTGATAAAAGAGTTGAAAATAGTCGTACAAAAGCATTGGAAGCTATAGATTCCTTTATTGGTAAGTCAAAAATTTTAAATGGCTCTTTATGGAAGCTTAGTTAAGAACATTGTTCTATAATTAAAACAATACCTTGTAAACTAAACAACATACAGGATTGTAATTTTACACATGCAGAGAAGACAAATAACAGGATTTTTCAGAATTATAAAGGAATGCAATTATATGCAGAGTAATTGCATGTAAAGTAGATTTGGAAAATTGCTGCCTTATGCATGCAATCCTATAAAAAATAATGCTTGTCACTCACAAGTTAAATGGGACCCTTTAATGAAAAAATGGTAGTCCTGTGGACTGTGAAGGTGATGAGTTTTACAATCTCTGGGTTGGTTACTTACAACTTGTAATACATTATTACGAATTAATGTATTAAAAATCTTTTAGCACGTTCAGAGCAAAAGAAAATATACAGTATAATCTAATACAAAATAACTGCTGTACTACAAAAGATATAAAATGTTATCTCCAGACAATGTCTTATTACTACATGAAAAAACCATACCAATGTTTTGGTGTCCCTCAAGCTTCATACATTTGGCATTTGCCCTGTTGTCAATGCATTGCTACAGATCTGATTACATATGTATTACAAGTTAATATATGTGAAAATTCATATACGTATTAACTACATCCCAGTAGTGACTATTTTTGTTTGTAAGTAAATTTTAAAATATTGGCTATTCGGTGGCTATTGTGATGTTTTGCAGTTTCACTTTGAGAAGAGTTATATTCTTTGTTAACACATGGAATTGATGCTATTATCAAGTGGCTTGGGAAGAATAATCATTTATTTGATCATAATGTTAAGTTATAGAGGTATAATTAAATTACATTATTTTTCTTTCTTTTTGAATGACGCGACAAGTTTTGCGGAGTGCCAAGTCGTTGAGAGTTGAGTTTCTGGGATATACTGTATATCTCATTTGGTAGTGCCAAGTTTTCCAAAATAGTAAAAGAAAACAAAAATTTAAGTTCAATTAGACTCATTCAAAATCTTTAAAATCAAACATTTAAAAAATTTTTTCAATAGGTGGCAGCATAACAGGATCCAAAATTTGCACAGATTGCAAGAACTTTTTTAATGCAAATGCTAAGTTTTGTTGAATTTTGAAATGGGTTGGAATTCATATAGTTAACTGGTAGTAATCTTTCAAAAAATATCTGAAAAATTCAGAATTTAGGACAGGCTAAGAAAATTTTGTGTTATGATGTAACTAAATTTAATGAGGCTCTTGACAAATGCAAAATATATATAAAGTTACAAATATGGATAGATAAACCTTTAATTTCAACTATTTAAAGATAATAATTGCTCATTTTAGGTTTGTGTTATATTATTATTTTATTTTTTCAGCTTTTTGATATATAACAATAACTAGTTTTAATCATTTCAAAAACCAAAGTGTAGAATAGATTCATAAAAATAATATTGGCTTTTAACATTAATTTGTATTTTTGAACCTCCAGTGAATTCAAATGTATAGAGAATGTCTTGAAGATAAAAATATTTTTGAAAAATCAAAGCTAACCAACAGTAGTTTGTCATCAATAAGTTCATGTTGATATTTTTAAATTTATGCAAACAAAACCAAAAATAACAAACCAAGAAAGAGTGATCTAATTCCAAGGTTGTAGAAATGACATTTTGATCTTGAAAATTAATATATTTTTCTAAATAAAGAAGAAATTACATTTTTCAATTGTCTGATGGACCTGAACCATTCTTTCTCTTACTGAGTACATTAAGGAGACTTTATCAAATAGCACTTGTATTTCTGGATCTGTTGTGTATGTAGCCAAAGTCATTGTAATTTTTTACTTTCAGGGTTGTTATATATAACAGAAGAAAAGTATGGTGATAGGTCAAAATATGATCTTAACTTTCCTGGCAACATTTGGTGGTGCCAAGAAAGTTAAGCAACTCATTGCTGGATTTTTCTTTGTCTGCTATATGCTTGTAATCTTGTCCCAATATATTCATGCCTTATGTTGAACCTGGTGACTATTAAAAGTATCTTATATATTCCTGAGGATCTTTCTTGTTGGATTTCTTCTATAATGTAATTTGGCCTTCCTTTTTTCTTGCTATTTCTCTGTAAATGTAGTTAACTACCACTGTCTCCTACAACCATAATATTAGAATATTTGTTTTTTATATTTACTAATGCCATATGTGATGATGAGGTAATCAATTAATCTAGTAGAGTAATCATGGTTTCTTGCTTTATTTTAATGTTTTTTATCTCTAATATCTTGGATACTGATACAATGCATAAATGTCCTCATAATTAGAACTCTGAATGCTGTGGCTTTATTTTTAAAAGATTGCAGGATACCACTAGTATGCTGGTTACTCTGATTTATGTTATACTGGCATTTTTTGTACATCTGGACCAGTGCACAACCACTGCGCTGGTGGTTATGTAAATGGCAACCAGTCAGTCAATGTTACCCTTTTGGAAATCATGCTAAGCAGGAAATTTTTCCTTTACATGTCATATTGTCAAGTAAGAATGTTTTGCTTGAGAATTTGACATGGAGAGCAGTGACATGTTAAGCAAAAGCAACTGTTTTGGAGAAGATTTTGTTGGACCTTGATTTTTTGCCTCATACAGTTCTATGCCTACCAGTCATGCTTTTCTTTTGATCTTATATCCCTCTTTTGGCCTTAAGGAAATGCTCTTTATTCAAACTTTAATTTTGTTTTTGAAAAGCTTACTGAACATAATTAGATTGCATTGTATTTTTGCAAGTACATTGTCAAGTACAAAATTCACAGTAAAAAAAAACTTTTTGATTTGGCAATTATATTTAAATTTTGAATGTTATTTTTACATCATTCTGTATTAACCACAATTTAAAGTTTGCCTGTGAGCAATTAAATGATGTTTTTAGTTTTGCATATTTACAAAATAAGCATGACCTCTAAAAAAGGTGGGTTAACTCTCTTGATAATTTAGTGCATTTCTTCAGTAGTTGCTTAAAATAAAACTAATATACTAAAAAAGAACATTAACTGTTAATTATAGTACATTCTAACATATCTAAATGTTTATTTTAGAAATTCATTCGTCAGTTGTTCAACCATTTAAACCTCTTTTACTGGATAACAATGATGCAAAGCCAGCACTTATCAAACGTAGTCCAACTCCTCCAATGGTATCTCTTCCAGAAGAATTTTTTAACCAAAATCCAATAATACCTGAAGCAGAAGAAGCAGTTGAAACAGGTGAACAGAAGCTACAGTTGAAAATTGAACCTCCAAAGAATTCATTAGCTTCTAGGTCATGGAACACTTTGAAATCTGTAAGTTAATAAGAATATTTTTATCAATGCAGAATATAAACATTTACAAAAGTATGCAAATAGAAAAAAATAACTGATTCATCTTCATAAATGCCAGTTATTTTTTTGTACACAAGGAAAAATTTATTTCAGATTATTTACTAAAATGTTCACAATTCAAACTTTTCTTATGGACTGTTTATGTTTATTCACTGTAAGCATTTTCAAGAGGAATTTCCTTCCATCATGAGCAAGATAACCATCTGATTTCAAAAGAAAGACATACTGACATGGCTAACAAAGCATGATTCAACTATACATTTGTAATAGTGACATTCCATTACATTAATTTAGTGATAATGCCTTCAAATAATGAAAATTCCTAATATCTTTAAAGAATTCCTATTCTCAATTCACTTTTTCTAGTGCAGTAGAGCCTCGAAAACTCAGCCTAATGTGGACTGAAGGGTGGCTGAGTTTGTGAAAATGCCGGGTTATCGGGAATGGGGTTAAAANATCTTCAGGTGTTAAATTACATTGTAATGGAATTTCAAATATAACAAATTTAAATATGAATAAAAGAATACAAAACAATGTTATGCAAAACCAAATCTGAATTAATAACAACAGATGAAACATATAATTAAAATGTGTAAATATACAATGAGAAACAAAATATGAAAAATGTATAGAAAGATAACTTCTTTGACCCAAGGGCACTCTACAAATTGGTATCTTTTAGTTTTTTCTCTACAATGTATTTAGCATAGAAATTTTTGCAAAATGTTTCATAGAAAACTGCATGACTTGATAGCAATGTGCCTGACTCATATTTGTGAGATCATTGGTTTGTATCTCAATGAGTGAACTTTTTTAAATAAATAAGTAATTACCTAAAACCAGCAATAATTCTCTTCAAAACAATGTTTTCTTCCAGTTATAACAGTTATCATCAGGTTTCCATGCATTGGAATGCTTTCTTTTTAAATTCTTGTGTTTTTACATAGACTAATTGTAAATCATATGAGTTTATATATACTTTTTGTTTATTTTCTATTTAAAATTGTGAATTTTCTTTTTTCGAATTGCTCTGTTAAAAATAAAATTGTTTTGTTTCTAAACTTGAATAATTATTTAATAAAAATATTAAAATTAGAAATTATATTCTTCTTGTTGCATTAAGTATATTTATTTCTTTTCATAACTAATGATATAAATATTAAGAAACCAGAGAAGTTACATTGACTTGTTACATGTGACAGTAAACAATGTGATATTGGGAATAGTTATAACTAATAATGTTTTTAATTTATTAATTGCTTAACAAGTCAAATTATTCATAATATTCTAACATTTCCAAATGTAAAAAACTGTAATTAAATTTATTTCTAACAGACTGCTATTTCAAAATGAATTTTTAAGGAAAAAAAATGAATAGTTTTAATATAAAATAGATAAAATGCATAAATGTTTGTGATTTACAATAATTCTTGTAAAAATTGTATTAATTTTAAAAATTCAATCATTGTGATGCAAACCAATGATATCCCATTAATCTGCCACTGAGCTGTATAGTCATTGCCTTATGAGTAAGCTTTGCAAGATATTTCACCAATTAGAATTTTTTAACTTTGATTTTCTTGAAGTATGCTTTCTGCATTTGGTTCATAATGAGCCTTGTTCATACAAATGGGAATTGAAATCCCAAGGACCACATCATAACCTCCTCTTGTTAGATGCATAAAAATTTAAGGATTATTTTATCAAATAAAGTTAATCAGAAGTTTTCATTTTCTATTATTAGATTATTAAATTGACATGTGATCATCTTTTTACTTTTATCAATTTGTATTTTTATAATACATATTAAATGAATTGCCTATTTTTGTTTAATAAATTTTATATGGTAAAAAAATTATATATTATATCCAGTTCTTAGAATAGTTAAATTGTTTTATTTAATTTATGTATTGTTAAAAAATTATCTTGAAATTTACACTTGTAAAATTTGAGATAAAATGTTTTTCATTATTTGTGGTGTTTTAAATTGATTTTATTAGATGGAATTGCTCAATACATATTGTTTATTTTTTGATTCTCACAAGTGTCTTTTTACTTACCAAACATACACAAACAATTTAAGCTAATGATCTGTAAATTAGTTGTGTATTTAAGACTTTAAATAAACATTGATGTTTTTATAATCGCTATTTGTGTCAGATCGGTTAGTGCCAAACAAAACATACCTATAAACATCTGATTCATCAAGGATAAGATCTTAATTCTTTTCTTATGCATTTTCTATTTAAATATATACCCGAAAAGTTGCTTTTAATTCATTTCATATGCATAAAATAAAGATCTTAAAAGGTGTATTACTGTAAAATCATACCTAATTGTTGATAAATATTAATATATGAAATATAAATATAACATTATTTTGAAAAATTTCTTTAAATTTTGTGATAAATTCTACATTTGAGTGAAAGTTTTCACAATCATAACACAGAACATAGAGATGTAAGAAGCTATTGTTTGACTTAAAAAATGTTTATAGTTTTTTTCTTTGTTGAATTGGTATTGTATATTATTTTCGTTAGATGAAATAAATTTCACGAATTTGTATGAGCTAAAATTTTTAATATGATATTTACATTTTTATATGTATAAATTTATACATTATACAATTTATACATATTTATACACTTAATAATTTACTTTGAGAAGAAAATTTAAAGATTTAATTTAATTCAGTTGCTTACTAAATATATTAGATTACATTTTAGCATTAATGCTATGTTGGATTTTAAAAATTATTTTACTTACATTTTCTTTCATAAAAATTGTCTGAAAAATTATTTAATATATACAATGTCTGTTCAAAAAGTATCGGACCTTTGGTCGGCAAAAATAAATTTATTGACTTTGAGGTACAAAACCCTAATCCCCTTCAAAGTAGTCTCCTTGGTAATGTATACACTTCTCCCAGCGTTCCTGCCATTGCTGGAAACACTGCTGGAACGCATCTTTTGGAATGG